GAACAGCCAACTAGTCATTCACTGTTAAGTGCGAGAGGAAAGCAGTAGATTTTATTTATGCTCCATATTTTTCAAGATTCTTTCGATTTTCAACAGAATATCAGGATCTATTTTATCTTTTTTAGACTATAATTCGTGGGGGAAAGGAAATGATGGGTTTGGCCTCCTTGGAAAGATGAGAGAAATCTCATGAGAACCTCCAATATGAAATCATTGTGCTGCAAGGAGACTACCGCTCTAGGCGGGTTTTCGATGGTGAATCTCCACAAACTCAAAAATCAGCTACGTATATCACTAAGTCTCGAACAGATGGGAATCTGAGGACTGTATCCTTGCCACTTTGTGTATCACCGGAGTTTTCGGTTAGCCGCGCCGTCGATAAGTAACATTTCAGGATGCTCTTTTCCGGAGATGGTACCAAAGTTTCTCATGAGCCTGATATAGAAAAATTCTAGTGGTCAAATCAGTTAGGGTGATTAGCGGTCCATTCGGGTTGAGTGGCATGCGAAACCTGGCTATGCTTAACAGAAAAACGCTCGTGTTTCAAAGATTTTCAATGAAAAGGGTCGCAAAAACTCTTCCCATTCCTATCCCTCTCTATTCTCGCTTCGAATCGCCACAAGCTAATCGTCATGTCATTAAACCCGAACCAGTCAAAAGTGACCTACTTTAGTAGAAGCTGATCCACGCATTGTTCTAAAAATAAAGCTATGTCGAATATGTAACCTACATCGATGTCATCTAGTGCTATTGCCGAGATGTCGCCATGACTGCTCTATCGTTTTCAGAGGGTAAAGGGTTGAAAAGCATGTCTCCATATCACTGAGAATAGTACCGTCAGAAGTTCAGACCATTGTCAACACGATGTTTCAGGTGAGCTCAACAGTTATCGGACGCACATCAGCGCAGTCGGAAATGATGTCCGATACACATGAGGTTGAGTTCTGACTGAACAAGAAACTGTGACATGTCCCAGGCGGCGAGGAGAGCTGATGGAATCGTGAATGTTGAGGAGTTAGATAGTGCTTGATAAGTTATTGTCTGTAACATCGCTCAATGACCGATGATCACTTGTAAATGAATCAGTGCAGTCGAGGGTACAGCTCGTCTCACAGACGAGCGTTACTTGTGATTATTAGTTTTCCGTAAAACTTGACCAAAGGTAATTGGGTATAGGGAGTTCGACTTTGCGGTTCATTTTACTCACTGATCATTCATCAGCTAGTTATTAACTCAGCATTACAGTTGTCATCAGTTTTGAGAGAACTTGAGCGAACGATTTCATTAGTGGACAATGCAAATCTTAAAGTGATTTCAGATACTTTCGCAGTAATTAGCTTGAGTGGTAGTTACTGACCTTGTGCTCTTTTTTGAAAGATAGGATCTCACGAACAGAAAATGTGAGTCGTTCTCTTCTGTCACTCAGAGAGCAGTGTGGCCACAGAAGCGCCTGATCGCAGAGCACGCTACGGAACTGATTGGGAGGTAGTAATTAACGCTAAAGAATCTGAACCTGAGGTCGTTGCTGCTGGTATTCCAATCAGTCGGTTAGAAACAAATGAAAATTGATGGACGTCATGGGAACGTTTCTGCGACGGATTCTGAACTGCAATGGTTGGGCCAACTAGACATAGGCGCATCGAGTGTGTTTACTGAGGTTTCGGCAATTATGTTAGAAAATGCTTTGTCGTTCGCTTTAAAGTGCCATTTTTACGAGAAAGAGCTGAGCGAGTCCCCAGACGAGCGTTACTTGATTTTTGTCTGTTCGATATTAAATTTTTGTACTCGATGATTCCATGAATCAACGACATAGAGATTGCCATGTCGATCAAATGATAAACCCATGGGACTATAAAATTGATTCGACAGTCCTCCTTGACCGTTTCCACCAGCAATCACACTTCCCTGTTTGGCTCCTTTTGGCCAACGCGTTATTTGAGGATTGACACAATCAGCCACATAGACAGTGCCCAATTGATCGACAACAATTCCTTGAAGACGTGACAATTGTTTAAGACTATTTCCTTCTCCTTGACCACCGGCTACGACAATGCCTTGTTGTGCACCTTCTTCCCATTCCATCACACGATGATTTCCATTATCAGACACGTATACTGAATGATGTCGATCGACAAAGACGTGGAGGGGGCTATCGAGTTGATCGAGACGATTTCCTTGTCCATTGCCACCTGCAACCACTGTTCCTTCAGTATCATCAATTCGATATCGTCTCACTTCATGTTTTCCAGCGTCAGCGACATAGAAAGATCCATTCTCGTCCATTGTCAAACCACGGCAAAAGATGTTTGAGATAATTGTTTCTCTACTAATACCATTTCGACGAGGCCATCGAACTACTCTTCCATTCTGCGAATCGCAGATGATGAGACTATCTCTCTCTTTATCGACAATCACATCTTCTGGGTTACATAACTGATGAACTGCATTTCCATATCCTCTTCCACCGGCGACTACTTGACCACTTGATGCACCATATTTCCATTCCACAATACGGTGATTATTGTTATCAGCGACATAAATCGTTTGATCATCGTCGACATATAAACCACACGGAAAATCGAGTTGATTTAATCCATGCCCTTGTCCACTTCCTCCAGCCACAGTGACGCCATTCTGTGCCCATTTTGCATTCGGATGAATATCAATTGAACTCGCACGTAGTGGTGCTACTGAAATGAAACAAAAATATGTGGTAGAAACATAAACATCAATCACATTGAAATGAGTTTCTCATTTTCTCAAGATTGTTGAAAACAAACCGTGTTGTTTATTTTCCAATAAATTTCTTCACAAAAAACACTCACTATCATCCGACATCGATTGATATTTTAATCAACTTTTATGTGAGTAACAACAATCATCCTGTTTATTAAATAGATGTTAATGATAATCTTCATTCTACTGACTAATCATATTATATTCGAGATTCTTGTCATCATTCTGACAAATTGTTTTGTTTTGTTCTTAATACGTTTAATACATCTTATTATCATCTATTGAAGTTAACACATTTCGAACAAAAAAACCAATAGATTTCAATACATGATTTTACTATGAATGTTTTTATAATTTTGAAATATAAATGATCAAATTTATCAATATTCATTGACTATTTACGATGTAGAGAGACGTGTCCCTATTCCAAGATTTTGGACTTTTCAACGGAGTTCTGCAGTTCTCGATTATCAAAAACAAACTGTAACTACAAGAAGAATTGTAAAAATAATCAGAATTTTGACTGCGTTTTGGCTGGTCGTCTTGACCTGTATGTTTTGATCGATAAAATGTATCTAGGGATGCACCAGTTCCAGTTCTGAACTGGAGAACTGGTACCAGTGACACTGGTGATCCAGTCGCACTGGTTACCAGTGGTACTGGGTATTCATATCGTTAATCTACTATTTATTAAATGATTGACAGTTATGTTTATGTTCACACACTATATCTACAATGTGGGAAAAGAACTATGGCTATGAATCATTTAATAAATCGTTCCCTCGACTGTAAGGAGGGTCATATGGAAAAAGTTTGGTTGTTTGTATGTTTGTCGCAAGTCAAAGGAACACCAAAATCCGATTTTTCAGAAAACGCATTTCTAGAGGTTTTCCGATGCCAAGAACTCGAATCCGATTGCTATTACGTCAAATACCTTGCTAGGGGTGGTCATGTGACGGGATCCTACTTCCAGGGTCAAAAGAACATCAAAACCGGATGTTTGAGAAAACGCGTTTTTCAATGGGTTTTCGATACCGGAAACTCGAATCCGAGATGCATTTTTTAGATAGGGGAGAGCGGATGTATTGATGGGGATGACTCTTCAGGAATCAAAAACATACTCTTTCTATGCACAAGAAGATCTGTCGTGACACTACGGACAAGGTTGCTACGAAAATCAATGGGTTCAAAGCTTTGTCATGCCTACGTACTTGCCCTACGTACTTGAATGGAACGAAAACGTCAGGCAGCACATGGACATTAGATGGAAGTCTCTCCTCAGTTTCACAAGGCGTTTGTAATCCTAGAAGAACTATGTTGCCATCTGAAGAGTCTCGTAGCCGAGACGAAATCTAGATTATGGTAGCTATCTCACCCTCACACCCTCACCTCATCCTCTAGCAGAACGACAACAACAACCAACTTCAGCGCACTTCGAGGATAAATCGTTTATCCTGACTGCTGAAGGTCGAGCAGGCGAACGACGCAGTGAATCAGACGAGATTATGCAATACTTCCAGTTTTGGACATCGATGTGACTTCTTGTGTCTTCAGATAGACACTCTACGATTAGGCTTTCATGTTACCAGCGCTCGAGCTGAGAGAAATTCAGTAGTTTAACTCGAGTCTCAATTTAAGATTCGTATCAGAGTCACACCACGTAGTGTACATATGGGTTCTTGGACCCTCACAGATCTAGCGACTCACGGGGGCAGTCAGGAGTGGCGGAGCGAAGCGACGTCGACGACTGACTGCGAAGAATATGCTTGGGATAAATTCGAATGCTTTTTCCTAAGAAACAAACTCAGCAAATACGTCCAAGCGTGCGAATTGACAGCCAACCACCGTATTGTTTGAACTAAACTTCACATCGCATTAGAAGACCCTCCGGGCCTTCTTTTTGCTGAGAAAAACAGAAAATTTCTCCCGAGGGGTCTTATAATATAGGAGGGTCTTCTCATGCAGGCGGGGAGGGGGCACAAGTAAACTTGGAAGTTGGATGTTGGAAGTTCAAAGCTGCAAACTCCAGGTTATCACCGAACCGAAAAATTCAAACTTGAGATTTCAAGTGAAGTGTAGTTTTCAATGGGAAATTGTTTTCAGTTAAATTCAGCTGTCAAGTTTTGCGTCACTAATAGATCCGTACTGCTCTTGTAACTCCGTTATCGCTTCATCCCAACCCTTTTGTCTTCAGCCCATCCCTACAATCGATAGTGCTAAATAGCGATCTGTTAGTTCATGAAAAGTGTTAGATATCCTGGTAGAGGATCGAATGCGCTATCAATAGGTAACAACTTTTTTTCCTCATTCGTCGATAGTCAAGTATGTCCAACACAAAAAGCGAGTCAACCTCGAAATATCGAAAGTCACAAACTACTGACTTTTCTTTTACGTCTCTGCACATCACTCGAGTTTTCTGTTAGCCGCACCGTAGATGAGTAACATTTCTGCATGCTCTTTTTTGACGATAACAGAGTTTCTCACTAGCCTGATATGGAAAAATTCTAGTGGTCAAATCAGTTAGGCTCGTGCACGGTCCATTCGGGTTGAGTAACACGCGAAACCTGACTGTGCTTAACAGAAAACGTTAGTGTGTCAAAGGTTTTCATTGCAAAAGTTCACAAAAACTCTTCCCATGTCTATCCAACTCTATTCTTTGTGAACTGTGACTAAATGAAGTTCAAACTTTTCGGAGAAAAACTCCAGAGCTCATTTGATGAGTCTAGAAACTTCTCCAGAGTAAAATGATGCGAGTTTACGAAGATTATTATTCAATTGCGTCAAGCTAATCGTCATGTCATCGAACCCGAATGAGTCAAAAGTGACCAACGTTAGTAGAAGCTGACTCACGTGTTGCTCTGAAAATAAGCCTATATCGAATATGTAAGCCACATCTCTGTCATCTATAGCTATCGCCCAGATGTCGTGATGACTGCTGTATCGTCCTCAGAGGGTAAAGGGTTGGAAAGCATGTCTGCACAGCACTTAGAATAGTACCGTTAGAAGCTAAGATCATTGTCAACACGATCTGTCGAACAAGCAATGAAATATGAGGTGAGCTCAACAATTATCAGACGCACATCAACGCAGTCGGAAGTGGTGGAGCGAAGTGAAGCCGACCACCGACTCCGTGAGCCATGTCCGACACACTTGAGGTTGAGTTTTGGCTGAATAAGAAACGCTGGCATGTCCCAAGCGGCGAGGATCGATGATAGAATCGTGAATGTTGAGGAGTTAGATGAAGCTTGATAAGTTATTCTTTGAAACATCGCTCAACCATCAATGATAACCTGCAAATGCATCAGTACAGTCGAGGGTACAGCTCGTCTCACAGACGAGCGTTATTTATTATTATAAACCGTCGATTTACATCGATGAGCTGGCGCACAAAAAATATTGTATCCATTATGTTCTTCGTCGCAATCACATACGACCAGAATGGAGACCGGTGCTTTCATGCGAATATGAAGAAACGAATCCTTACTTTAATAATCAAAGCACTCAAGTATGCGGACAATTATTTGCAAACTACATATGTTCATAAATAGCGGACGGTAATACTGGCGTAATCAGCGTGGGGGAGGCACGGGGGTGCAATCTTGGAAGCTGTTTTTTGGGTTTGCGAGCCGTTCGGAAACTCGAAAAGAGGTTCGATAGTAACAAATACCTATTTTTTTTAGGGTGCTAGATTTTTATATTAAAAAAATACTGGGCTTTCTTCGAATTCAAAGCCGATAAATAATAAGTTTGGACATCTGTAACTGGGGCACTTTTGTACAACAGTTGCGAAGGGATTTATCCTATCTGAAAAGCCTTATTTTTAACAAGAATCTCCAGCGTGGACTCTTCAGCAACAAAGGACTGAGAAATTCGTGAGTTTTATCCGAGAATACATTTTTCTCCAAAAAGATTATAAAAGAAAATAGAAATTTTCCTATCAGCGTGCAAAAAGTTTTCGTTTCGAGAGAAATTATCTTGAGTTTTCAACGATATTATGTTTTTTGGATTTTTTCCAACACGTACACTGTAGGCTAAAAAATAAACATTTATTTTAATGCAAAAGACTTGTATGCCTCTTACCCAGGTTATCACAGGGTAGCCACGGATGCCACAAGATTTTGTTTCTCTTTTTTTGTGATATCCTGCTCTTTAGTAAAAATAAATCTTATCTTATCTTTACCAATCTTAACTAACTTCGAACACTTCTGATTGCATGATAGACTTTTCCGTCACTGCGTAAAACGCCTGCCGAGGCATTGCTCGCCCCCCCCC